AAATGTGGGTGGAATGACAGCTCTGTCCTGGCTGGACCCTCCCCCAACTGTGCTCACTCCTTGGCTGATCAGAGAGAGAGGCTGTTACGCAGTGAAAGGGCAGGAAATCCGAGCATTATGTGGCCGGGGGTCATGAGAGGTGTTCGGGGGTGGTGGGGGTTATTCTAAAGGAGAAAATATTTGGGTTCGCCAAACTCAACTTGAAATCCGAAATGAGCGCAATTCTGAGTAGGAGCGCTGGGGGCAAAGAACCGCTCTATCCTGAAGAGTCTCTGGAATGTGCTCACAGTTTAATAGCTCGGGTGGCAGGGTTATTATTAGCAAAGAGGATTCAGTGAGCAGCCACCCTGGGAGAACTGATGCTGCGTGCTGCGTGCACCACACAGCCTGGCTCCTGGAGATACCCTTTGAGACAGACCTTTGATGCAGGCAAGACTTCTGGAAGGGCATCATGGCAGGTGGCCTCTGCCACGGCTTGGCCTCTGGGGGCTGATGCGGTTCCTGCCTCCTGAGCCACTTCTGAAGTCTGTTGGTGGCCCAAGGAAAAGCGGAAATCCTGTCCAAGGTTCCAGAAGGAGAATTTCAGAATTTTCGCAGCTCCTTTTTTTAAAGTTACGTTTCTCTTCCAGAGTGAAACTGGAGTGGGGCACAGAGTGTCGTTTGTTGAGTTTCTTCTATTGTTTTTGGTGTTTTGTGGAAGGTGGGTGGCAAACAAAGAAGACTTAGATTTATTGCCCTGACTTTGTATAGGACCAGCACCACCCCCTGAACTAACAGGGCCCAGGGAAAGCAGACAATCCCCAAATACACTTACCGCCCAACCCTCTTAAAGCCTTTGACTTGTCCCTGAAATGGAAAATGCCTTGATGTATAGTTTCTCTTCATTTTCGTGCCCCTGTTCCACTTCGGGGGGGTATGTGTGGAGGAGCTAATGTTTAATGGGGTGTTTAGAAGCCAGCCTGTGGGAGTGAGAGAGAAGAAAAGCAAAAGGTACAGAAGACCAGGTCCACCCTCCACCTCCACCTCTCCCACTTGCTGAAAAATCAAAAGGCTTTATTTCCTTATCACTGGAAAGAAGTCGTCTTAGTCATATGATGGAACAAAGGTTGCAGATGGGTGGGAGGATCCAGAATGGGGTAACTCCAGTTTCTAGCCGAGTTTGGTTTCATGACTCTCCATGGGGATGCTGTGGGCTGCCTCGGGGGGCCATGAGGGCCCAGCAACGTCACATGTCGGCAGGACTGGTATGAAAAACCCATCACATTCATGGGACAAGTCTGTTAGATCTAAATAGCATAAAGCAGAAGCCCCAGTTGGGAGAAATTAGTAGGACATTGGTGCGTATTTAGGAATGATTGCTTTGGACTTTGAAAATGATGTTCTGTTTCTCTGGTGCAACATGGAGGTCACTGAGACTGGAATTTGGGGGGCAGCTTCCCCAGGAAAAAAGGCCCAAGACAAGTTGATTTGATAAAGCTTTATGGGGGTTCTAGTTCAAGGGAAGTAAGAGTGAGGAGCAAAGGGAAGTGAGATAGTGTATTAGTCAACAACTGCTGCGTGACAAATTACCCCAAACCTTAGCAACTATACATCTATTACCTAATAGTTCCTGTGGACCAGGAATCTGGCTCTGCTTTAGCTGGGTGCCCCTTGTTCAGAGCTCACACAGGCTACAATTAAGATGTTGGCCAGGGCTGCGATCATCTCAAGGCTTGGCTGGGGATCTGCTTTCAAGCTCACTCGTGTGTCTGTTGGCAGGTCTTCGGGTCCACACTGACTGTTGGCTGGAGATGTCTGTTCCTTACCACGTGGGCTTCTCCACAGAGATGCCGCTGACTTCCTTTAGGTAGAGAGGGAAACATTATGTAAGCCATCATCTCTTTGTAACCTAATCTTAGATGTGGTACCCCATCATTTCTGTTGTACTGTGTTCATTAGAAGTGAATCATAATGTCCAGCCCATACTCAGAGGGAGGGGATTACCAAGGGTTGAATACCAGGAGATGAGCATCAATGGGGGCCATCTCAGAGGCTGCCCACCACAGGTAAGGAAAGAGAAAGAGCAAATATAAAGTGATATGTTACCAAGCTGGTCACAGCTTTGCAAAAATAGCTTAGTGGTTGGTTGGTCGGCTGGTTAGTCATGCTGCACATCTCCAGAGAGCTTTGTGGAACCCAGCACCTTCGAACAGTCTATGAGGAGAGAAAAGGATGAGGGCACTGCATTAGATCCCTAGGGCTGCTGTAACAAAGTACCATAAACTGGGTATCTTAAAACAACAGAAGTGTATTGTCTCACAGTTCTGAAAGCTAGAGTCTGAAATCAAGGTGTCAGCAGGGCCAGGCTCCCTCCACAACCTGTAAGGAAGGATCCTTCCTTGTCTCTTGCAGCTTCTGGTAGCTGCCGGCAATCTTTGGCATTCCTTGACTTGTAGATGCATCCCTCCAATCTCTGTCATCATATGACCATCTTCCCTCTCTGTGTTTCTCTCTTTTCTTCTTATAAAGACACTAATCATATTGGAATAGGAGCTCACCCTACTCAAGTATGACCTCATCTCAACTAATTACATCCACAGTGACCGTGATTCGCAAACACCCCCTCCAGCATACCACCCAAGGACATACATGAGAGCCCACCCCTGCACCTTGCCCTCCCTAGGGGCCTCACAGGGAAGGGGAGTCACATGCTGGCTAAGGCATGAAGGTTCTGCTCTCTCCCCCGATGCAGGAAGAACCAGATCGAGGAGTCCAGGGCAGGGAGGCCAGTTAGGAAGCTGGTGAACCAATATGAGTGGTGAGGGAAGGAAGGAGGAGTGGACATGGTACTGGCCTGGGTGGTCCAGCCAAAGAACAGAGTCAAGGAAGATTCCAAGGGCTGAAGTCATCGAGGGTGGAGCCCTGGGAGAAGGTTTACTCATTCGGGAGTGTCATAGTTTGGGTTCTCCTGAATCTGAGACAAGTATTCAAGCAAAGCAGTTTATTTTGGAGATAATCCCAGGAAATACTGGCAGGAGAGTGGGGAAGTGACCAGGGAGAGAAGGAGTTTAGCTGCACGGATCACCGTGGGCAGTTGCAGCTTAATCCTAACCCCCCCGCAGAGAAATCCAGTAACCAGTGAAAGATACGCACCACCTGTGAACAGAGGGCTCTCCTAGGTGTTGGCTGAGTGTTGTTCCTGGTCCGTGTCAATTCCCCAGCACTTCCTGCCTGTTCGCAGGAAGTGGACTCTGGCTGCCAGAGAAAGTCCTCGGGCAGGAAAGTGCAGTGCTGCTGGATGAAATTAGGGCTAGTGTGCACTGAAGCAGCAAGGGCAGGGGCTGTACTTGGCAGTGCCAGAGACAAGATACTGGGGGCACAAGAGTGGGAGCCAAGGTCCCATGGCTGAAATGTTCCAGGATGCCCAGGCAGCTGTATGGAGTCTGGCTCCTGACCCCACGGAAACGGGCCACTTAGTAGAAAAGCATTGATTGCATGAAAAATCCTACAGAGACAGGGATAGAAGGTTGAGAACTGCCACACGAACAAAGACAAATGACCAAGTTCATGACTTTGTTTAGACCTGGTTCTGCATGAGGAAAGAATGCACTTTGCTTTCTTGCCACAAATCATTCTCAGAAGGGTCAAAGCTGGGAATTCAAAAAAAAATTCAAAAAAAAAAAGGGGGGGGCGCTTCCCTGGTGGCGCAAGTGGTTGAGAGTCTGCCTGCCGATGCAGGGGACAGGGGTTCATGCCCTGGTCCGGGAAGATCCCACATGCCGCAGAGCGGCTGGGCCCGTGAGCCATGGCCGCTGAGCCTGCGCATCCGGAGCCTGTGCTCCGCAGCGGGAGAGCCCACAGCAGTGAGAGGCCCACATAGCGCAAACAAAACAAAACAAAACAAACATTAGGCAGAGATGGCTCACAGTTTTATTGGAAAATAAGTTGGTCCTAAAACCTTATCTTCAAAATCTGAATCTCATTAGATATGTCTAATGCACACTGGGTTAAAATGAGAAATAACACAAAGACCCACCACTTCTCTTTCCCACACTCAAAGAAACATCAGATGAGAACAGCAGAAAAGCCATAAGAGAGTCACGTGGATCTCTGCTCAAACCTCAGTGTTGGCACTTAGCAGCTGAATGCTTTCAGGTAAGATGCTTCCCTTTTCTGGGTCTCAGTTTTCTCATCCATAAAGAGGGGATAATAATAGTCCTGTCCTCCTGCAGAGGTGGGATCGTAAAAGGCATTCTAGGCAAAGGAAACTGCATGAGCTGAAGCCTGGGAGCCTGAAAGCAGGAGACAGTTCTGCAGCATGACCTGGGATGCCTGGAACCCAAGATGCAGGGGAACGAGGACCCTGAGAGGAGAGGGCAGTGACCTCTACTAGGACTCCCTGCTGATTAAGGCAACACAGTAGGATTCTAGGGCTTGTCTCCTTTTCTGCCTTGGAATAAAGGTCTTCTCTCTCTAGGGCAGAGAGGAAGTGAAGACGTGGGGCCCCAAAGGAAAGGCACCCTGAAATGCTGGGCCTCTTTCAGGCACTTCTAAACTTATGGGCTCAGGAAATGAAAATGCTATTAAACTCAGGGTTTAGAAGCCTCCTTTCCAGGATGACATCAGGAATTGAAGACTTGAACCTGAGGTTTGGGGCAAATGGAGGGCTCACCCCCATCAGGAATGCAAATAAGCTGGCATATCTCTTTCTCCCTCTCTCTCTCTCTCTCTCTCTCTCTCTCTCTCTCTCTCACACACACACACACACACACACACACACACACACACACACACAAAAAGCGCCCCCAATCTCGGAGAGCTTCTGGAAACAACAAAGCCCTTAAAGAAAAGCAGCCGCCCCCCCAACCCCCCAACTGTTTGACCAGCCCTTGAAGCCGTGTCCCCGCCCCACCATTAGGACACCTTTGGGATCTTCAAGAAAACACAAGGTTTGACTGTTTTTCAATGATGGATTATGTTTTAGAACACTGAGACAAATCAATTTCAAAAGAAAAAGCTATAATATTGACTTTATTTCATCATGGAAAATTTGTGCTCAAAGATAAGAACCATCTCATATAAAACAAACAAATAAATAAATAAATAAGTAAAAATAAATAGGAGTTGCTTCAAAGGGGAGCAGGGGGTTGAGGGAGAATCAGATGCAGCCAGGACCTTCTCTTAATACCTCCTCAGCACTGTGTGGGAAAGAGAGAGAGAGTGATGATTACATTTGGGTGGGAGACAGGCAGGGCCTGAGCTTCCTCTCACCATGTGCCATCTGTGCCTCCCCCCTCTTCAGGCATCTGGATGTCTGAGGCTTTGGAATAATCTACCTCCCTGGACCTTGCTTTCCTCGTTGTAAACTGGGGATTGCCATCACCCTGGTGATCCTGCCCTCTGCCCTTGCAGCTCTAGACAGTTCAGGGGAAACCAGGAGGAAAATGTTTAATACTCTTTCTGCGCCAAGAAGGGTCTGCCAGGCAATTGACCGAATTACACGGATGTAATTCATGGGATGACCGAATTACATCCTAAGGTGATTCTGCCCCTTTTGGTAAGAGAGGCAGGAGGTGGTTAGAAGGTGGGTGGGAACTCAGAGGCATGGTAATGAATGTTGTCAAAATTTAATATTTCCAGAAAGGCGCTCCTTGACCCTGAGGACTGACGGCAAGAAAGAGTGATATCCAGGTGTCCTTTGCTCAAAGTTTGGTCCCCAGAGACTTCAAACCCAGAAAGGCGGCACGCGGTGGGAATGGGGGTGGGTGCTCACCATTGCAGCCCAGGCCGCTGAGGGAGCCGATCCGGTCCAGCCTCCGCCCAAAGCAGCCGGAGTCGCGCATCATCCTGGGGCTGCGTATTCCCCGCAGGGCCTGGAGGACGCTGTTGCCGGGCCCGAGGAGCCCCGGTGGTGCGGCCGCCCGGGTCTCCCAGGCTTCTGCGAGGCCGTGGCCCTGCTGGAGGGGGTCCAGGTCCATCTGCTCGGCCTGCAGCTCCAAGACCCTGCCTCGTAGACGGCCCAGCAGCTCCTGGGATGGGTGGGGGAAGCGGAGCCTTAGGAACCCGCACCTGGGCCCAGCCGCCCTCGATGGCGCCAAGGCAAACCGACCGCCTTGGGGACAGGGGTCCCGCACCCAGCCTCGCCGCTTTCTCACTCTCTTATCACTAATTCTCAGGGGAGGGTGGGGACCTCTTGGGACTGTGGGTGGGGGTAGGTGGGGACCCATTAATTGCTGCTGCCGGTGCCCTCCCGGCGAGCCGGGTTTACGCAGTTCGGCAGCGCTCACCTGTATCCCCCGCAGTTCCGAGGCCGGGCCGGGGCCACCTAGCGGGTAGGAATGACAGCCTGGCAGCGACAGGTGCAAGGACAGAAGGAGCATGAGCGCCCGGAGCAGCGTCGTCTGGGGGTCCATGTCGCTGGAGGGGCGGAGAGAGGTTGCCGCCGCTGCCGCTGCGCTGGGTCCCGGTTCACGTCTCACCCGCTGGGTCCTCGGGCAACCGCGGCCTTTTATCCCCCGTCCTGAGAGCCGGGCCGGCCCTGCCCCTCTGGGTTATCTCTGATTTATCGGCGCATTCCGGCCCAGCCCGCTGAGCTCAGGGCGGGGGAATGCACCTCTCCGCGCGGAGGGGTGGAGGCCGGGGAGAGCAGGCCTTGTATAGAAATGGGCCTGGCCGGCAACGGGAGCGCGCGGCGTTGGGGAGTTGGCGGGGTTGGGTAGACACCGCTATAGGTCCTTTGTCTCTCGCTTCCCCCTTTCCTGCAAAAACCCCGGGGCCTTAGAGTGGCTCTTTTCTCTTTCCTCCCCCCAGCATTCCTGGAGAGGGAAGAGGGAACCCCAGCGATCAGAGGCCCGAGGCAACTGCCGGGCGCACGGGGTGACTCAGAGAAATCACAGGCCCAGCCGCCACCCCTTCGCCGCAGCGCGTCTTCCCTCCCCGCCTGTAACTCTCCGCACCTTGTTCGGCGGCGGGTCTTCCGGGCGCTCTGACCGCTGTCCGTGGTTCTGATCGCTCTGAGCCAACAACGCAAGAGAACTCGCTCTCCTCAACGTGGGTCTTGCCAGAAAGACAAGTGTGGGGCAGGGGCAAGAGACGTCTGAGACCCCTCTCCGCCCTCTCACAACCTCCTGCACTAGGATGCTAATTCTCCAGTGTCACCTGATTAAAAGTCTGGGTATGACAAGGAACTTCTGGAATGCTGACCCTTCTTCCATCCCTTAAAGTGTAGAGATGATTTGACAGGAATTTTGAGAGGCAAGGCCCAGAGATGAAGTCATTCAGGAATGCTTCTATCACATCTCCCCCAGGTGCCAACACCTCCTCTCTCCCACCAAGCCAACATAACGGAAAAAGCAAGGATGACTGGAAGACGGTTATCTATTTGGTGGGACACTAAGGGTGTGAAAGAGTGCCTTCCACAAGGCCTCCTTCACCTGGTCGGCCATGATCTCATTCCCATTCGCAGATGGTTTGCGCCTCCTGTCTGCGATTACAAAAGGGGCTCCATAGAAAAATGGCCCTGGGAAGAGACACAGCAGATTAAATCCCCCCTAAAGTGTGCATGACTGATGTCACCACCCCTACCAGATAACTTGTGCTGAGAAGCAGCAGGATGAGGGGGCAGCATTGTTTAGGAAAGGAAATGTGTCATGACGGAGGTGGAGAAAGGGGCAGCAAAGAGCAGGAGCTGAGACCTCTAAGCAAACCTGGCCTGAAAAATAGCATCTTCCAGGTATTGAGTGAGAAAATTGTTATTGTAGTTCTTCACTTTTCAGATAAGAAAACTGAGCTCAGAGAAATTAATCTGCTTTCTTTTCTTTTTTACACCTAAATTGATTTTTTTTTTCTTTTTCTTTTTTTTTTTTTGCAGTACGCGGGCCTCTCACTGTCGTGGCCTCTCCCGTTGAGGAGCACAGGCTCC